TATTTGTATTACCAATTTACCCGATTATTTTCGCGGATCATCAAGTGAGTCGATACTTTTTTTAGGGGAGTGTATATCAGAAATATTGTTAAAAGAGTATGCAGAAACAGGAAAAATGTGAAAGAGTTACTGACTGATTTGTCAACTGCTTTTAGGAGTTCTAAAATTTAATTAATATCCATTTCTTTGAGATTGAAGGCAGATTGTCATTTCAAGGTGTACAACAAAGTTGTGATGTCAGAAACCGACTTTTCTATATGTAAACAAAAACTATTTATAATAGTTGATGAAGACAGCACATAAAAAACGTTGACAAATTAACTTGGTGATGTGAATTCCAATAGTGGAGGATTATTAGAATATATACATATGTATATATTTGTATATATTTTATCAATAAAAAATTTCTTTTCATTATTTTACAATCATTTGCGATTGCCAAATTTTAATTTCTAAATATGCCTAGCCTACTTCAACTTGCCAATAAAAAATTTTGTGGAAAAATACATTATTTAAATTCGGGTCATAATTGTTGTAAATTACAACCTGAACCTGACCTGAAGTTATTTTACATCAAGACCAAACCTGATCGATGCAGACCTCTAATATTTACAATCAATTTAAAATTAATAAAATGTCACAAGATTATGTCATTAAAAAAAATTTAATGCAAATTGTTTATTACATACCATTTAATCTCCAAAGAAAAAGAAAAAGGAAAATAATGTAACTCTTATTCTCAAAAAAAACTCTCATTTTCTCCACTCTATTACAAAGCCAAATTTATAAAAACATTTTTTTTTAATGTCATATCATAAACTATTATCATCGTTATCACCAGAAAGAAGGGAATTTGTACATAAAATTAATAAAGAAATGAGAAATAATACACGGGTTAATTCTGATAAAGAAAGTGAAAAAGATTATTTTTTTTCATTGGTTGAAAAAAACATGGAGCTTTCTGAAAATGGAAAAAAATATTGTAAGGAAAATTTTATTTACAAAATTGAATCTAAAAATGCAAAAAATAAATGGGGAAAACCAAAAAAGTGTAACAAGTGCAAATTGACAAGATATTCTGATAGATTCTGTGAAGGTTGTATCAGTTTAAAATTACAGAGCCTTTTCACCACTTGGACATCTGGAAATAATATAATTTATAATTTTATTCAACTATGTCAAATGAAATCATCTCTGCCAAATTATATTTTAGAATGGATACCTTTTGAACAATTTGAAAAAATAACAAAGTTAACAGAAGGTGGATTTAGTTCAATTTATAAAGCTACATGGACAAGAGGAAAAATAATGTAAATTTTAAGGCTTTACGTTTTGTTGTCTATACTTGATCAAACTTTAACCATATATAATTCAAGATATTTTAAATGGACTTACTTAATGACGTAATCCATGGTTCAACGGAGTTTTGAAGGTTTTTAGTAAGCTCAAAGTTTTTACGGAATTTTTTGTCTAATTAAAGTTTTCATCTCAAATAAATCATTCTTTTTTTTTTAAAAAAAAAACAATGTCTGAAGCTAATAATAAAAGAAAAAGAGAAAAAGATACTATTAAAGCAAAAGAGTAAGTGTTTATTGTAAGAATGGCGGATATTGCCACTTGACATCCATCACCCTAGTTAAATAATTAAGTTGTGTACTTGTCAGTATTTATGATGGGTTCCTAATCTAGATAATTTGAATCCAGATGATGAATTAAATGTTGCAAAATTATTTATTATCAAAAAAAAAAGAATGCACCACTAAAAGCAAATTGATTTTCTGGTTTGCCACTTGGAAAGAAAATGTAGTGATCTCTTGGCTCAAACATTCTAATTCAATTAGATATGGGTGTATTTGTTTTTTAAAAATTGTTTATTATTTTACTATGTAATTTATTTGAAATAACCAATAAAAAATAACATTTGAAAAAAAAATTGTTACAACAAAATTTCGTCAATCATGCTTGAGAAAAGATAGAAGATAATCTGAGAGTGTTGCAATCAAAACTGGGTTCTACACAAGTATCAACATCAAATGCGTCTCTCTACAAAAAAAAACTGGATAATGTCAATTTTTTTGGACTCACATGGCAGGATCCATTGGCAAACATGGTTCTCAGTGATGATTCAACTTTAGTAGAGAATTCAAAACCAAGACAGAAACGCACTTTTATGGCAAACATTTTTCACCATCTGTGCTCTGGTTGTATGATGATGAGATGGGTGATTTTTGCATACTTTTTATTTGCTATTAGGAACCATGTGAGAAGATGAAATGTAATATCTCTGCATCCGTTAACAACAAGTGTGAAGATTTTATGAATAAAAGTGTCATCACAGATGAACTTAGAAATATTACACATAATTCGCCATGGGTAGAAAGTAAAGATGAGCTGGGAAAAAGAGTGGAACGTATATTGGACATAATGTAAGCATTTAGTTTTTTTTCAGGATAACTTTTAATTAATATGTTTATTTAGTGGAGAAGTATGGAATAATTGGGCATTTGGAACTAGTATGTCATGCAATGAACAAAGTGAGGGAACTTACATTACAGATGTGATAGTACCATTACTTTGGGGTCTCCCAAATGTATACATCTGCTTGAGCACGGCAGAGCACTAAGCATCGCAAGACTCGCAGAAATCTCAGGATGGATTGGAAGCGAATTGGGATAAGCCTGATGTTATGGCATTGGTGGGGCATGTATAAAAAACTTCCAAAATCATATATGTTGAATGTTCCAGAGTTGTCTTCACTAATAGTAAATATTCTATTATTTCTTAATTTGTAAAGATTTTCGCAACATAAATAGTTAATGCCAACATAATTACCGTATCATTTTAACATAAATTTATTGATTATCTTTTGCTGCTATTGTTTTGGCAAGACCAATCTATGATTTAACCTGTTGATGATAATTGGGAGGACGTAAATGTTCATTTATTATTTACAATAAAGATCATTACAGTCAATAAATATCTTTGTTTTGAAAAAATATTGATTTTCATTTTATTTAATAATAAATAGTAAGTATTTCATCATCATCATTGTTATTATTACAGTTTTTGGAAATTTAAATAATAAATAGGGTGCAAGTATTTCTATCGTTATTGTATTCTATTACAGTAAATATTCTATTATTTCTTAATTTGTAAAGATTTTCGCGACATGAATAGTTAATGCAAACATATTTGTTACCGTACCATTTTAACATAAAAATGGATAACAATAATTAGTGATTGATATTACTGATAACGAGAGATATAAATATAGCGATCGATTATTTACAAATTATTTTTTTACGAAAGAATCAAAAATGCAAAATCAAACAATATTATTAATTGGTAGAACAGGAAGCGGAAAATCCACCGTAGCGAACGTAATAAGCAATACAAACGAATTTAAAGAAAGTTCGGGTTCTACCAGTGAAACTAGAGATGCCAATGTTCGAGATTTTTTAATTGATGGGATGTTGTTTAAACTCATTGATACAGTTGGTCTTGGTGATACAAGATTAACTCAACAAGAAGTTCTTTATAAACTGGCAGAAGCTTTTCATTCTATCAAAAACGGGTTAAGTCAAATACTATTTGTCACAAGTGGAAGATTTACCAAAGAAGAAATGGACGTTTATGGTTTATTAAGAACCATTATTTTTGACAATAATGTTGTCAATTATACTACCATCGTACGAACTAATTTTCCTGAATTTGAAGATGCTGACGAGTGTGAAAATGATAAACGACAAATGATTAATGAAAACCAAGATCTTTCAACAGTAATTAGAGCATGTAGAAAGGTTATACATATAGATAATCCACCATTAGTTGGTCGTGCTAAAGAAACCAACAAAATAATCAGGGAAGAATCTAGAAAAAGAATTCTATTGCATTTAAGTGCTTGTAGAGAAGTTTACAAACCAGATAATTTAGGCCAATTAAATGAAAGAATTAGAAATTATATGACTGACAAAGAAAAATTAGAAAAACTTGTAGTTAGCATTGAAGAAGATCTGAAGATACAACAAGAGAGAGTGGCAAGGCAAAAAGAAGCAATGGCAAAACAAAGAGAAGAAGCGGAAATTAAAATGAGAAAGTTAAATGAAGAAATGCAAAGAGAAGCCAAAAGAAAATTGGATGAAGCAAATAGAAAATTTCGAGAAGAGAAGGAACAACAAAGAAGGGCAGAGGAAGAACAAAAAAGAGCAATGGAAGCAGAAATAAGAAGATTAAATGATGAAGCCTCTCGACAAGCAAGCGTACGTGTTTGTGATGGTGATTCCGGCGGCTGTAATATAACTTAAATAATATTTTTCATTTGAAAAATTTAATTTTTATATTAATACGAATTGACTTTTTCCAATTTAAAAATTTTTTTTTGTTTAATTTTTTAATTTTATATTAATACGAATTGACTTTTTAATTAATAAAATGAAAATTTTACAAAAAGTTGCTCTCAACGCATGTTCAATAGGTTTTTGTCCTTTAAGTTCCCAACAATATTTCCCAATGCATTGCTTCCAATAAGGATGCTGTTGGGACTAAATTGAAGAGTTTGTCAAACCGTATGAATTTAGAGCGTTTGAGTTCTGGTTTGATTATTTTTAGGGGTTGGCACCGTTAACCGTTTAACCATGGTTAACCGTGGTTAAGATATTTTTTTAACCGGTTAATCACCATTGTGGACCATTTGATGAAAATTCATCAAATAAAATACATGGAATTGTGTCATATGTTGCACCTGAACTACTTAGAGGCACAGATAATGCAAAGAAACAGATATTTACAGTGTTAGGATGTTAATGTGGGAATATTTGCATGCCATCCACCATTTGATGATAAAGTTCATAATCATCACTTAATTTTTGATATATGTGAAGGTTTACGACCACCAATATTGCCATGAATACCTGATGATTATGTACAAATGATGAAGAAGTGTTGGGATGTGGATCCATCAAAAAGACCAACTATTAGAGAGCTTTTGGACTTTTCTGAAGATAAAAATGAAGAATTTTTTAAAAATAAAAGCTCAAAAAATAATAGTTAATAATTATTCAAATTTTCTAAAATCCAAAAAAAAAACATGAAATTGATTTTAATAATGATGACAGCAACAGGTAGTGATGATTGCATAAATCACATCCAAATGCATATCATACAAGTAGAATATTAGATGAAGAGATTGCTAAATCAAGAAGTTATACAAGTAATGATAGTTCATTAAATAACCTTGATTTTAACTCTTTTCTCTTAAATGATTAACAAAGGCGGATAAAAATTTCATTATTAATTCATTGGAAATTGCTACCTACTAACTAATAAGATTTTTTATTAGATTCTAGTAAATAATTTCCACTATTCATTATAATTATTTATTTTTTTATTTCGTTTTTATCTTTAGTTAAAGTTAAATTATCAAAAAATCATCAAAAATCTAAATAAGAATATTGTTTTGATAACCATCATTAGAAAAATAATCATTCAAAATCACTTTCATTGTCATTAAAAGACTCATCATAATTATTAGTGGTTCATTATCCTATTAATAATATTACTATTGCCGCCTTACTAATATTTTATTGTTAATACTACTACTACTATCACCGCCATTATTGTCTCCTATTCTACTAAAAGTATAATTTTTTTGTGGCGGGTTTCTTTTTGTTTTTTAAAATTTTCTTTTTTTGAAAAAAGAAAGAAAATCAGCCAGTTAAGCCATTTAAAATTTCCTTGGCCGGCTGACATCAATCTTATTGCGTCATATTGCGTTGATCGGAGATGGAGGCACTTACGAAAAAGAATATGAAACACAGCTAAAAAAGTTCAACATAAAAATCCAAACCAAATTTATAGTCCAAGCCTAAATTGCATACTAGCATAATCTTTCGAAATCAAGAAATCATTAGTTCATCCCCAAACATAATTTATTTCAATATCTTTAATAATGATGAGCAAACTGATAAATCAATCTTCAATGTTGCAAAAGCATGTCGTAAATTACAATATTTTAATATTAGTTGGAGCAGACACATTACTAATAAACCAATCTGTAAAATTACACGATTATGTTATACCTTAACAAATCGGCAATATTTATATGTGAAATTGCACACTTGCATCCTAATTTCCAACCTTTAGATTGTGCAAGATTTACCAATAAAGCAGTCTATGCTATTGTTTATTTATGCCACAATCTTGATTATAGCAATTGTGAGGAGAAAGTTGATACATATATCAGAGTAATAACAAATTTACATTTGTTTTTTTATAAAATTTATAAAAAAAAATATATTACAGTATATAAAAATGTCACAATTTCACATATCTTATCAATAATAATATCTTTATATTAATTGGTATGCAATTTGAAAAAATCCCAAATTTATTTTCCTAATTAAAAATGATTCTTTTTAATTTTTTTGACAGTATGATGGCAGTTATTTTTTATCAAGTTGTAACCTCCATCCTTTCTAGCGGTCTTCATGAAGCTGCCAACAGTTGTATCATTTTTTGGGGTGAGTCCTTCTTCGACAGTTTTCCAATTATTGTCATTCATGTGTCTTGCATCAGTAATAACCTGTGCACTACTTGCATTAGTGCTATGTATTAGAAATTTCCTCCCATCATCGATTGTCACGCGAAGACCGATATGTAAAATGGAAGTGGAGCCACCACCGTTTCTTATCTTTCTTTTGACAATATCTGCACTTTTCACATTAGTACGGTACAATTCAACAAGTTGTTGCCTGCTGCTGCAATCTGTAATTTACATGAAAATATATAAAAGGATAGGATGCCATTTAAATCAACAATTAAATCCAAGATATAATACAAACCGTATTCTGATCTAACAGATCTTTCACTTCTACTATTACTAGAGCTGGCGTTACCCATAATTGAAAGTATGGATAAAATTATTGCAAGACAAATAGGTTAATATGGCAATTACAAAAAGAAGTATTTCTAAAAGCAAAAAAAAAAAAAAAACAACAAAGATTATATTGAATGCGTATTGGATAAATTTATAAGATCAGAGTAGGATAATATGATAATACACTGGATGATTAATTTTCACCATAAGAATAAATATTTTGGATGTAATAATTTGAAAAACATCAACAGTATTTATTCAGTATTGGAAACCCATTGTTATTATTGTTATAATAGGAAAAATTCGAAAATTTGATTGTTACTCAAACTTATGATACATGCAGATTTCGCGAAAATAAATTTATTTGGCGTAAAAACCTTATTTACCACAATTTTCATTTTCATTTTCTCGTATATTTTTAGTTTGATCTATATAGGTGTGTAACCTTACGAGGTTAGTAGTATGCAATAGGAATCATACGAAAATGCCAATCGTTATTTATTATCATACAAATTGATTTAAAATATATAACACTGATTATCAATCCATCATTTACCTTTCATATACATGTGCTTTTTTTCAGATTTGCGAACAAAAAATCTAATAGACGTCCTTTTGATGCTCGCCACCTTCCTTATCTATGCTAAAGTTTAGTTCTAAGCGTGGGAGTTCATTGAATTGCTTTATTAACAAATTGATGGCCTGATTACGCTTGTTTTATTTTGAATATTGATGTGCCATTCACTGCAAACTTGTTCTTATTCACGCATAGTGTGAAAAACTTGAAATTTTTCTTGCTCACTGTGCCACGAAATATACGCAGCACATCACTAGGGGATGAGCTTCGGAGCAATACTTTTTTAAATGCTTATTTATACTTTACTTCTTTGTGCGAAGCAAATTTGTCCTGCAGTCATGTCACATGATTTATAGGTGTTCCCATATAAAAAGGCGCTTTTCACTGGAAGATTATGTATTATTAGTATGTTTCTGAATGTTTTTCTGGTAGATTTTCTATCAATAATTTTCCGTGGGGATGGATAAATAAATACAATAAACAGGGAAGAGAAATTTCAAAGGGACATTTATGTTCTGTATTAGTTTGTAATATCAGTTTCAGGTAGTAATAGGTACAAAAAACAAAAACGTTTACGTTTAACAAAAACCAAAAATTAAACCTTTTCTTTCCACCAAAGCAAATAACCAAAACCGAGTCACAAAACCTCAGAGTTCTCTACCACTCTGATAACCAAATGGACAATTAAACCCTACTCTTTAATTTCCGACTACAAAAATGTTTTGCAGAAATGAATTAATTAACAAAACTTTTGAATAGTCTCAAAAGCCTCGCCCTAAACCTTTAAGTAATGATTGGTCGTCTATATTATTACAAGCTAGTAAAGAAAAAACAGTAGCTGATTTTGCCTTCTCATCGTTGAAAATAGATTTCTTTAAAGAATCAACCAAAGACTTTTTAAAGTGTAAAACCACCGAAAAAAAAAAACAAAGATTCTTGTTTTACTAAAAAAATAAAGTCTATAGATATTTCATCCTATCCTTTTTAAAATAACGAGTCACAAATTTATTTCTTACGTTAATTAAAGTCACATGACATGGAATTAACTTTGATTTACATCAGCACTTTTCAAAAAATTTTTAGTAAATTGAGGCAAGACAAAAGCAGCTTTATGAATTTCTGAATTATAATACTTAAATAACTTGGCTTCTTCTTCTTCTGACCAAGTTCTAATTGGTTTTCTAAAATCAACGTTATCATCTCTTCCACATAAGATGAAACCAATTTGACCAGAAGGATATGTGGGAATCGTGGTGAATGCATAATCAACTACTTTAAATACTGATCTACAATATCCCTGAACTTCAGAGATTAATGGAAGATGAAGCCATTGACATTCACCTATCATCATCATCATTATTGTTAAGAATGATTGATTGATTGATTGTTAGTGAGCGAATTAATTAATGATAGATATATAATTTTGTTTAAGAATAGCCAGTTAATTAGTCAATTATTTGGTTGGTTGGTTGGTTGGTTATTCAGTTAGTTAGTTACCTTGAGTAGAAATAACTCCGCCTGGACGCAATGCATTTTTCAATAACCCAAAATATTCTGCTTGAAATAATGATTCTGCTGGACCTATATTTTATATATGTAATATATTATTAATATATGTGTGTTATAATTACAATATTTATTTTTATCACACTAACCAACAGGGTCAGAGGAATCAGTAATGATGACGTCAAAAGTATTTTGTTTGTCTTTTAGATAAGGAAATCCATCGCCAATATGAATAGTAACCCTTGGATGAGAAAATCCAACTGCCATATCTGGAAGATACTTCTTGGATAATCTAATTACTGCCTAGATAAATCATTATATATAAGCATCTGATTATTTACCAATATACATTATAAATGTATGAATATGTACCTCATCAATCTCACATAATGTAACTTCTTCAACTGAATCATGTTTTACAATTTCACGAATAACGCCTCCGTCACCTCCACCAATCACCAAAACCTAATATGTGATTAATATTATGTAAATAATTCATCGATAATAGATAATAAAAATGGTAAAGACTACCTTTTTAGGATTAGGGTGACAAGTCATTGGAATATGCGTAATCAATTCTTGATAACTATAAAAACAAAATATGTTAATTTAACGTACATAATTAAATATAATCCAAATAATTTTGAACATACGCAAATTCATCACGTTCAGTACACTGTATTACACCATCCAAGACCAGTACATTTCCATATGTCTCAGATTTAAATATTAAAACATCTTGATATTTAGATGTCTCATGACACAAGATCTCTTTAACTTGTAAACTCATCGCTATTATATACACAATATTTTTTGTAAGGATGCAAGAAAAATTTATCATTTCATCAAATTAAAAAATCAGGAAAATTAATACCTTGTCCAGGCCACAAAGCTGCCTTTTCAGTGAACCATCCATCTAAAAGATTATAAATTATAATAACATAATTAATATAATATAATAATAACAAATATTATATGATGTTATGATATTATAATATAATGTGTAATATGTAAAATGTGATTTAACATAATAATGATATGTTCTCTACCTTTGATTTGAGGGTGTGTCAACATAATTTTATTTCAAAAATTTTTTGAAAGATTTTTTTTTTTAATCTCTTATCTACTATTTATAATAATTTCTGTGAAACGTTATGATAATCTTTGAGTTTTTTGAATTCCTCATTAACAGTCTCTAGATAATCTGACCATGTAATCTTAACACAAAATCAAATATCGAGTATCAATAAACGCAATACAAATTCGGTGATAAGAACATTGAAAGCATATCTTGCAAATTGGATTTCAACACTACTGAAATCTGAAAAAACAACATCCAAATCAAGGGTCATTGTTACTCATTTTCTTCTATCAATTTGATTTCCTTGCCATCCTCGTTAACAAAAACATGCATATCATTCATTACTCTTCAAACCAGGTACACAAGCTACCCGAAAATTCTGATGTTAGATCGACGACGAAAGACAATCCTGACCTACAATCAAAAAATAAATGACTTTACTTTATTGCGAGTATCTCTTATGATGCATTTTGGTCGCGATTTCATGTATCAGGCCAATTTAATGATTGGCCAAGCGAAAAACAGTCTTTTAAATAAGATTTATAAAAACCGAAAGGAGATGTCCGAATTTTTATCTATAAATCATACATCTCATTTTCATATTAGGAAGTGATATTCTCGGGGAGGGTTTATATATGTAATTTAGCCTTCAAAAAACATGGCAATGTAAAAATGACGATGTGTCTAATAAACACTGGCTGTATGAGACGTCTTTAATGAATATTCTGTTTGACAAACATCATTTATCTTTATACGGTCGGTGAACCTATTATATAGTGAATTGTATAATATAAGGAAGTCGAAGATTTTCCCATTTGATTATATATATAAATTCTGCTCGCTATGATGATTTTTAATATAGTGAAGTTTTACTAAACAATGAACCAATCACTGAAGCTTGATGAAGAGTCTTTGCTGTTCTTTAAATAATACAATTTTTATCAAGATTTATTAATGCATACTATCACTATGACAATAACAGATAGTAATGTTATACTCTATTCGGTTCTTCGCAAAAAGGAAAAGTATGATGATGATATGCTTGAAACAGAAGTTCTAGTTAATGTAAATTAAAGCAGAAGAAACAAAATCAAAGAACTTTCCTTCGGCTTCTCCAAGCTGTTCTAAAGACACCTCTTGGGCCCCAAAACATCGTTCGAATTATTGCTATCACCGTCTACCAACGTGTTGCTATTTACATAACAGCAATATTATTAATGATGTTGTTAGAGCTCGCAATATATATTTGCAGTGGTATCTATGTTTATATTAGAAGGAATTGTGGTGTTTATTGTATATTTGCATTATCCGTTAAAGATGAATGTATAAATATTATCAAGAGTGAATCGCTTTTGATCCAGTTCCTGGGTTATTGTTTAAAATTATCCTACTGCTAATTGCTTTAGTATACGCTTCAGTGTATGTGTATTACCACTAGACATGATTCCTTCATCATCATTATTTTTTTTATTCTAAAAAAAAACAAAACATTGGATCATCCGTGTTTCTAGAAGAAATACCACGCAAAGGAATCCAACACACCCAATATAAAAAGGTCATTCTATTAATATGTAAAGAAAGTAATTGATGTGCGGATTCACCCAAAAAATTTGAGGAAATAACAGGAGCTCTCGTCAATATGGGAATGAATTCCAGTGTTTAAAAAAATTTTTAATAATAATATATTATAATTCTGATAGATTGATAATAAAGTGTCAGAATTATTAAAATTGTCCGTCTGATTACCACGGCTATCCTCATGGCTAGCAAGTCTGAAGATTTTAACGACTCGAAATGTATATATGACAGCCAGAATCCACTGTAGCCATCATATATATAACCACTCCTGCGGCGAGACTTCAATCGAGCCTTTCGTAATCTCCTAAAAAAATTGTTTGTTCCATTGGTACTCTTTCTTCATTTTAAAAAAAATAAACGAATAATAATAATATGAATTAATATACATATATAATATAATAAAATAATACACACACACACACACATATTTCTTTTTGGGATGGAATGTAAACAATGTTAACAATACGATGATTTGGTAAATATACTGTCCTTCAATTTTGATTGTTTAAAGGTGGACGAAAATGTTCTTGCTAAATACAGGAGATCGAATTGCTTTAATCAAAAGGATTTAAGAGAAATAAAAAGAAAAATTTGAACTAATCAGCAACGTGTCACTTGATCCATTTTTAACTTTTTTTTGTATTACATATATATATAGTTCATTTGCGCATGTTCAATTAAAATATAAAAGAATCTCAGGAGGGGGTCCTACTCATCATCACATAAATCTGTCCTGCGGCAAACATACCTTGTAGTAACGTGAGGCCCTGTGTCTTCGAACGACATATTTTTCCAAGTTTTAATTTTGTTTCTATTTTTATCACTTTTAATTCTTCAGAGAATGCTAAAATTCCTTTATTGTTGAATCACGATAAATCGATCATTAGAGTTTGGTGATGATGAAGTTGTTCTTTAAATAATGTAATTTTTTTCTTTTCAATTTACGTCCTTATCAATTAATCTGTTAGAGGAAAACTCAAAATGCAATCAAAAAAATGTTGTACGAAAAATTGTTGTTACATGTCAATTCAGTTCTCCGCAAAAGGAAAACAAATTTTTAAACGAAAACGAAACAGCGAGCTTAGTGAAACACAATGTATAGGTAGACCTGCTACCCCAGCTCGTGGACCAAAAAATTGCAAAAAACGGTGCGTCGATTTTGCTTTTTACGTTGCATTCGAATTTAAGGGTTATTCGCTTTATCATTTTATTCATTGTATTCGAATTATTCGTTCTGTTCGTTTTATTAGGTCTATTCGAATTATTCGTTTATTTGAATTATTTGAATTATTCGAATTATTCGCATTTTATTCGTTTTATAAAATACTAATTCACATGCAACAAATTCTATATTAATTTGTAAAATTATAAATAAGCCTTATTTCCTTAACAAGATGATATAAATTACAATAATTATATATTACTAATACTATAGCTACTAGTACTATGACTTAAGAAAATGTCAATTATTACTATTTATCGCTATATTAAAAGGACTACGAAGGAAATATAATTTGAAATGTTGGTTTATTTTATTTCGTTCACTCATCTATTCATTAACTAAAAGATAATAACTTATTGTTGTGGGGTGGTAAGTAATAATATATCAATTATTAATAATAATTCTTGTTGTATATATATATAACTGTATTAACGAGGTTTACTATTATGGTTATTGTTATGTATGCGTGCAAGTAATTTATTGTATATACGTTGCATTAACTTATTATTGTATTAATATGCACGCGACCATCAAGGTAAGTAATAATATTGTATACATATATAATATTGTATTAACGGGTTTACTATTATCATTATGGTTTATTGTTACGCGTGTAATTAATATATCAGTCGTAGGAATTTTGATGATCGGCATCGAATTTTTCATAGTAAAATTTACAATTGAATACTTTCAACCCCCAGTTTAATGCCCTTGTTGTTTAGCAATAATCACCAAATTTGATATATAGTTTCTTTATAGTATACATCTATTTCATGAAAATTTTTGAGGCAGTTTGTTAATAAAACCGTAGGTAATCACAACCTTAAAGTTTTTTTTTGTTTCTGTGATCTCATGTGTAGAAAATTGTCATTCGTATTGATTGCAAACAAATAATTATTTTTTACAAGTAATTACAGAACCCAGTCACTTAGGTATGCTTTCTATATATTATTACATATTAAGAATAGAATTTTGCTAGGGAAAGTTTATAAAGTAATGTAAAAATTATTCATTATTATATATATATATATACACATATATAGTTTCAACTTTAAATTTATTAATATATTATTGTATTTTTTGATATAAAGAAAGGTTTCATTCTTGGTATAAAGGAAGATTTGTTTATGGTACAAAGAAAAGGTTTGTTTTTGGCACAAAAGAAAGATTTCATTTTGATATAAAGAATTAATGTTGATAAAGTTATTATAAATAAGATGTTTAAATCAATTGTATTATAAAATTTAATATTCCATTTAATTAAATAAAACATTAAACCAATAAATTTATAAACAAATTCTGAATTTACTTCTTTAAATGAATTCTTTGATTCAAACTTATCGGCAATATTAAGAAGAATATAATAAAGAATTCCTGAGAGGAATTTGATAAAGTAACAACAATGGAAGGAAATATTCCTCAATGTGTAAGATATATTGTACAAATTATTGGGTAACAACTACATATAAGAACAGGAACAAAACCATGTATACATGATAAAGAATCATCCCCATCTTTAATTTTTTTTTTTTAGATGGATCAACAATGTTGCTTCTTCAGATGATATAAATGCAAAAAATAAATTATTAAATCTTTTAATACAAGTTTTTAAAAATTTTAATACAGAAGTTTCTACCAAATCTATAGTATAAGATTTCACATCAACAGAATCCGTAGTAAAAGAATCCTCCATGTCTTCTAATAATTTAATAGTTCCTAGACCAACTTTATTTCTTTTAAGTGTAGCATTTAGAGTAAATAAGATATCTATAAATGAAAATTTACAATCAAATTAATTACTAACAGAATCATATATAAAATTTAGTAAATCTTTAGAAACATCTGTATGGAAATCACATACCCAACTCATAGAAAATAAAGAAACATTAGAGAACCTGCCACACTTGCT